TGACCAACGAAATATACTGTAACCTATAAAATTTTTGATTTGTGATATCAAAATAATCCGTGATCAATTAATTTGATAATATTTGACCATTAAAAGTTGTGACCTATAATTATGTATCCGTGACCATTAATTGTATAATTGTGACCTTATTACATTTAATTAATAAATAGATACCCGATTTTTGTATTTTTAAACTTATGATCTGAAAATTGAATTGGATGAAACTTAACACCTGATATATGAATTTTTCCCAAGTGAAAATTATGCAATTCCCTACTTTTCAAGATGAATATTCTAAAATCAGATTTGAAATTTTATTTTTCCAAAGTCGGATATTTTTTAATACATACAACATAAATAAATAAATAAATATATTTATTGTAATAGATTTTCCCCGTGATTTAAGTGTAATAAAGTTGGAAAACTACTTAACTTCCATATATTTCGAAACCTCGACACACTTCTCTTCTTTACAAACCTATGAGGCCACGACCGTAGAGGTTCTTCATCCTCGCCATTTCTTCTCCAGTGAAATCGCCACTACCGACCATCACTTAAAGTGTCTTTACACCATAAAATCACGGTCACTGTAAGTATCTTCACTTATTCGAAGCTATACATTCTACACCCAAAACTTGAAATCTATACCTCGTAAACCCAAACCCAAATGGCTAGTTCAGGGAGTGAAGATAGATGGGTGAATGTAGTTGAGGCATCGGATAGAAAAGGTAAGAGAAAGTTGGAGAAGGTTCATGAAGATTCGTCATCTAAAAGACACAAATCATCGTAGTCTGTCAAAAACACGTCGGAGAAGAAGGTATTTGAGATATTTTTAGATGTATTCTTCAATTGAATCATACGTTCGAACCCTAAAAGTGATGGGTAACATGTATTGATGGTGTATTATACATTTGAGATTTATGCTATATTCAATTTGTGATGTATGAGTTCATTGACTATTATTATTTCGTAGTGTGACCCATAAATAGTGTTATTTGCTTTGTTTTGATTTACCAATTGTGGAATAGAAAAAATAATCATGTTATAAATCTACCCAAACTTTTTTTGTGTGCTACATGTATGCATGTGTAGAGATTGTGACCGTACATGGGGTTTTTTGCGATGTATGAGTTCAGTGCATATTGGTATTCCGTATTCTGACCTTTGCTTTGTTTGATTTACGAATTGTAGAATGGAAAAATTAATCATGCTTGTGACCTATCAAACGGACTGTGACCAAAACTTTTTTTCTTGTGACCAGTCTGCATGTGTGGAGGTTGTGACCATACACGTTTTTCTGTTTGACCTTTGCTTTGTTTGATTTACGAATTGTAGAATGAAAAAATTAATCATGCTTGTGACCTACCAAACGGACTGTGACCAAACTTTTTTTTCCTGTGACCTATCTGCATGTGTGGATGTTGTGACCATACAATTTTTTTTTTTTTGTTCTAATTTTGAATTAATAGGTTATTTGTGATCTTTATGCAGGTTTAGACTTTTGTTATACCAGAGAAAAGTTGGTTTCTTGGTAAAATTACTGTTATTAACACGAAGGGCATGTTGTCGAAGTTTAAAACCAATCTAAAGGAGGCACAAATGAATATTATTCGTAATACATGTTTTGGCAATTTTCTTGAGTGTGATGAAATTGTCATTCAACCGCAGTTGATCCATTATTTACTCCTGAGGCAGGTTCGACAACCAAATGCAGACGAAATGTGGTTCAATATAGAAGAGTGATTTGTTAGATTCTCCCTTCCAGAGTTTTTTTTAGTATTCGGACTTAGATATTTTGGGAATGCTGATACGAACAGGCTGGAGAAGATGTTGTCCCATTTGAAAGAGAAATATTTCAGTAAGTTCAAGGTTATGACACATGAAGATGTCAGAGATGCATATATTGATGCTGGGGACATTCTTGATGAAGTGTTTCAATGCTCGGTGCATTGTATTTCATCACTTCATATTTACTTTCCAGAGATTACAAGAAAGTTGTTGAACACTACTTGTTTGTTCTAGTTGAAGACTTAAATGATATGAACATGTTCCCCTGAGATAAATAATTGTTCGACACGCTTATCAGTTCACTTAGGGAGGGGTTGAGTAAGAGAACAACCCATTATAGATTAAAAGGTCTTTTGATAGTGTTTCAAGTATAGATATATGAGACGTTTCTTGGTCTCGATGGATGTATAGCCAAAATGACTTCAAGAAAGTACCATCGGGTAAGGAATTGGACGGCAGATGATCACCCATCGGCTGCCAAGCTCGAAAGACCCGATTACTTCTCGAACCCGGATGTAAGTGTCTAAATACAATACAAATTTTGCATGCTACATTGTGTACATATTTTCAAGTCATATATCACAGCAAAAAAGTCACAGATCATTTTCATTATGTCACAGATGATGCACTATAGGTCACATGTTATTTTTATTAAGCCACAGATCACACAATATAGGTCACATACATATTTTTACATCATGTACAGGATTGTAGCATTCCTGACATTTACATATTTCAATGCATTTGGAATGGAGGTTGAAGATATGTGATTTGGACCCGCTTGACAGTGAAATGGCAATGCCATACATGTCCGAAGTGCTATATATCAAACCTATCCAACCAAAACTTTCACGTGTGGAGAAGAGAAATGATGGAAATACGAATAGATCAGTTCACCAATCTGATACAAGTAGGAAGCCATGTTCCTCTGGTATAAAACCATCTACACCTCTTCTCATGATAACTGATGGTAGAATTGGATATGCCAATATTGAAGTTGATGACGATGATTTTGTGAAATCCCCACCCAGATGGCAGGAGACATCATCCCATGGTAATTCTCCAATTGGGGAGGGTCGTTCTGGTGGCAGAAGTAATCCGCGTACACCTCATGCAGTTGGGCCTCCATCGAATGATGTAAGTGGTTCGTTTAATGTTAGTGCATCACATAGATAGTAGGTTCGGCTGCGTGCATATGTCACTTGTATGTGAATCAGGTCACGATTAACATGTCACAGTTTTTAGGCTACTTTGAATCAGTCACAGTTATGGTATTATTCTTATTTTTGACAATCAAGTTGGTACTGATTATAGGTATTCATGTGGTGCAGGTGGTTGCCGAACTGAGAAAACAGTTCAGTGGATAAATCTCTGAAGTCCAGTACAAGAATCAGTTGCCGAATCAACGATTGATGAGATGAAGTCACAAATGACGATGTTGAAGTCT